TGGTGCAAACTTGCAGTCAGTAATGTTTGCCATCTTGACTGAAGCTTTTAGCAGTTTCCACACAGCTGCAGCGGCTCATCAACTAACGGGAAAGGACCGTAACGATGAGCGACAGCGCCGAGGCCGGACACAAGGAGACCAAACACCTCAAGTGGAGCTGATCTGAAAACAGTCTTGACTGGGAGCATCTGCAGCGCTCTCCAGTACATTCAAAAGCTCTGGTTTGTTGAAGGTCACGTCTGAACGTGTTGGAGCCAAGAAAACAGAGTATATCTAAAGACAGGCGGCAGAGCAATAAATCTGGGATTTGGAAACAGCGTTCTCCTTTTTATCATTTGGCTCGGAGCTTACCATCCGTTTTAATGTTGCGGCTGTTTGAGTGCAGCGAATGAAACCTTAATGTCTGAGACTCGGGCGTATTTTATGGAGTGCAAGTCTCCTGGTGATTTATGTTTTATTGTGGCGCGGCACATTTTCTAAAGCAAATGCATCGTGTGAGTACAAGCTTTACTACAAACACAAAGGAGCTTCTTTTGTTTGTTGCAGAATTACCGGTAATGATGATTTTATAGACTTTTGAACAAATTCAGGTTAAAGGATTGATTTTTTTCCAGTTCTTTAAAGCCCAAACTGCTAGAAGCAACGCACAAATACATGCTGCTACCTTTTTGTCCAAACAGTGCAAGAAAAATGTTATTCATGGGATTTTCATTCAAGAGGTGATCTGTATTCAACAGCACTCGGTGCCGAGAGTTTTAAAAGCCCAACATCTTAGCCTTCAACCTTCCAGGACCAGCGGCATCACGCTCTGCCTCCTGATGTTAAAAATAATTTTATAGTCACTGACAGCTCAGCTTTATAAACTCCTGATGATTTTTTTTTTATTTCTTATTGAGAAATGTGGGGTTTTGTTGCAGGCAACTGTGTTAGCTCCTCAACATCACAGGATGTTTTCTGTGGTGATCAGACCTGGTTTTGTGTCAAGCGAGACGGTGCTGCAGTTTGCACCAACGGTCTACAGAAAGACAGTTCTGCTGCTCCCCTTTCTGTGTAAAGTTTCTGGGTAAGCTCATAGAATATAGATAAATAAACGTTTGCAAATGGACTGTAGGTGTCAGAGTGTGTTGTTATCTACCACATTTTCTGGCCTTTAAGTCACATTTTATTGCATAATTTGCATGCCCTGACTTATACGCCGAAGCAACTTATTTATGGATGTTTTCCCATATTTATAAACCAATTTTTGTCTGAGATATGATCGTTTTCATCCATTCTGACTGAAAAAAATTGAACAGTTCCATTTTCAGCCACTAGATGGCACTCAAGTAGTAAGGCATGCCGTTGTGTCATGTAATAGGTAAAAGTGGCTATTAATGACAAATTCAAAAAGTTCAAGACAAAAACAAATGGACTTTATTTATCTTGAACTTTTTTGATGTAGCCATATCCTGGATGACTGCGAATCTTCACCAGCTATTAATGACACAATCGGCTTGCCATAGACTCTCACCTTCATTCTGCTCGCTGCTTGGAGCAACCATCAAACCAGCTTCATTTCGCTGTACCGCCCCAGTGAAATGCAGTTAATTTGACCATTAAAGTGCATTTATTAAGTAAAAGTTCAACCTTTACTATAAAGTCGAGCAAACAAACAATTGTTTTAGGTGCTTTTCTTGTTAAACTTCGAAGAAATGCACAGCGTTCCTCCTTCCTTTTTTCCTCTCTGTCTGCGCACTCCCAGGAGCATCGAGGCAGCAAATATTTTTGAAATGCAGCTTATTTGACCTTTAAAGTCTTTTTATTAAGCAAATGTTAGACTGAGACACACCTTTACTATAAAGTTGAGCAAACAAATAATTGTTTTTAGGTGGTTATCTTATTAAATTTCGAAGAAATGAACAGCGGCTCATCCCTCTATGTGTGCCCGCTTCCGCAAATCAGGTTTTGAAATGCAGATGATTTGACAGTCAAAGTGCATTTATCAAGCAAAAGTTAGACTGAGACACACCTTTGATATAATTTCAAGCAAAAAAAATTGTTTTTAAGTGTTATTCTTGTTAAATTCTTGTTAAAGTCCTCCTGTGCACTTTCCCCCAGCCGCCATTTGGCAGCCAATAATTTTTTGTCACAACACCGGTCCACATTTCCGGGTTGTCAGCGGTGACGCATAATAGATGCAAGGTATATGGTGAAGCAACATATTTATGGATTTCCCCACTTTATTAGACATATTTGGGCGGTGCGACGTGTACGGCAGAAAATACGGTATCTTTGAGAACCTGGGAATGGCTGCAACTCTCTCTGCGATAAAGCCAGTACAGCTAATGAATTGAAGAACCTTTAACCTTGTGCACATGGTTACTAATGATAGCGCTCCATGTTTTATTTGTACTCAAAGTTACTTCTGCAAATAGTGACGCCCTACCCCCACCCAGGTCCAAGGAAACAGATATTGCTCCTTTCTGACCACCTAATGGGAGCGTAATGCGCTGTGACACTGCAGGCAGCGGCTGTCAAAACAGTGAGCCCTGTTCCACGGCTGTCCAATCGTTCTGAAGGGTGCTGGACTGGATCAGCGCTTCACAGCAGCCAGCACCGAAGCTCACGTAAAACTCTCCGCCTGGAACTTTCTGAGCACACGGCGAGCTGCCCAGAACAGCTCCCAACACTCAGGAACAAGATGCTGACCAGGCTGCAGCTGCACAGTTGTATATTTATACCCATGCTGTGCAAGAATAAAAAAAAACTAAGTTAGCAGAAGCTCCTTTAACACTACAGGGGGTTGTCATTTAGAGATAAAAGAAAAGAAAACACTTGAGAGCTCGTGCAGAACTCTGCTTCTTGGGACCTTGTTAGAGGAGAAATGCCAGAGTTACGGCTGGTAAAGTAAAATAAAGAGCAGAAGTCAGTGTGACACTTTTCATCCAGCTCCACTAAAACTGGTTTATTTTTTACAAGTATCAAGCTGAGCTGAGTGTGCACGGCAAGTCAAGAGCTGCTGCCACTACAGTACAGTAAAGCCTGTGGTGCTTTACAGCTCACGAAAGTGAAGAGATGTTATCTAATCCACTTCTACGACAGCTCACAGTGGCGGAGCAGGCAGCGTCTAACATCACACCCGTCCTACCTGAGACAGTCATTCTTAGTTACTGTGATGAAGAGCAACAGAAAACAAACGTGCGTGTATTGTTACACAGCTGGACTCATACAGAGGCACGATATGCAGACGGTTGCTCAAAGCTCTGACAGGCGTTTTGTTAATCAACACATTGTTTAATCAGCCTCAGCGTGACGAGCAGACGTGTCCTGTATCTCCATCCTAGCCTGACATTTCCAACGTTAGCGGTCTGCCGCCAGGAGTCTTTCCACACACACGCTCATACACACACATTCAGAGATTAATAAAAAGACCAAGACGAGGAGGATGAGAGCCCTACACCCTCGTGTCTTCTCCTTTGTCTCCGAAGCCCTGAAATCACAGAGCAGACGTCACCTCCCCCCAAACCGCTGCCAGCCCTTTCAGATTCTCCTCCCTTGATTTTCACCATATGTATAATCATCATCAAAACGATCGTCATTATTTTTGTTATTACATTGTCAAAAAGTGCAAAATGAACTTCCCCCGTGCCTCGTTCACAAGGCAGGGCAGTAGAGGATGGGGAAACAATGGCAGTAAGAAGAGCAAGGAGGAGCGCAGGAAGAGAAAGAGAAAAGAGAAGTTTTCTGCTGAAGCGTGTTCGAGTCCTGTGAACGCACCACGCCCGGGCGGGCACGTGTCCACTCCGAGCGTCGGACAGTCCAACCTGGTGGAGATGGACCGGCTCAAAGGCAGAGCACAGGGCAGAAAAAACAACCCAGAGCGTCTTTAAGCAAAGAGGAAACGTGTGCACAAACATCACGCTGCCTCTTTTTGTTTCTCTGTTAACATCGGAAGATTTGATTCTGTTTCCTCGGTCGGGGTTGAAAAGTGACATCATGGTATCTCGAGATGGAAGGTTTGCTTTTCTTGTCTCTTTGTTGTTGTTTGCAACTTCTTTTTTCTCTCTCCGCATCAAGGTTTTTCTATGTCTGGAAAAAAAAACCAAGGAGCAATCCACTTCACAAGATAGTGTCCTCCACTTTCCCAGCTTTGGAAAGTTCAGTTTTGTTTTTGTTCTTTGTATTTTATATAGTTGTTTTTTTTTAAGCTTTTTTTGTTTTCGTTGGAGCTACAGCACGGCACCCACAGCACACAGACGACAAGGAAGGCTCCATAGAAGGGAGTCGGGGGACATGGGGGAGGGGGGGAGCAAAGTAAGTCACTAATTTTGTGCCAGAGGAGGAGAGAAACAAGAAAAGAGCATAAAGAGGGAAAAAACAGGAAGGAGAGAAGAGACTATTTCATCCTGCGTTCAGCTAGTTTCATTACAAACCTGCTTTTCCATTAACTTCCAATAGAGCTGAACTGCTTTCAAGTAAAAACAAAGGAGGGACAGATGTGGAAGAGAGAGTATGACACATGAGACTATGAAAACAACATGGCATATCGAAAGAGAAAAAGAGGTAGGAAGCAGAAGACATTTAGGGGAAGTTTTGCTGATCCATATGTACAAAAAGACACACAACGTATTATATTATGCAGAAATCAAAGAGTGGGATTAAAATAGCTCGTTACTTAAGATTCTCTGTGATCCCATGGGACTGGCACCTTTAACAGGTCAGGCTCTGCCGTGAAGCTCAGAGCTAAGGGATCAACACCAGAACTGATTATCAGACCTCCGCAGGCAAAGTGCATCAGGACAGACAGACAGACAGAAACAAGGGACCAGTTGGCCAGAAATGGAGACACGACAGCACAAGACGGGAGAGAAGTGGTGGAGGAAACAGAAATTTCAAAAGCAAAGAGAGAAGAGTTTAAAGGTTTAAGAGAGCAGATGGCTAATTGTACCCGTGTTTCGCAGCCTGGCAGCAAGTCAGTCTTGTGCATAAGGATGGGAGCAGGAGGAGGGGAGAGAAAGGGGGAGGTTTGGGAGACGGGAAGTGGCCATGGAGGAAGCTGGGCGGTGCGATCAGGCCTTGAGAGCGTGCCACTGGGCGACGTTTGTGCGTGGCCGAGCGAGCATGTCTTTCCAGTGCTTTACTTCCGCCGGCCCGCTCTTCCACGATAGGTAGATCTGAGAGCAGAGAAGAAGAGACAAGGTGAGCGCTTCATGGAACAAAACTCCAAACCATTAAAGACACGAACAATGGTCGCAAGCGCCATTTCTCCGTTCTACTCTTGTAAATGTGCCGTCAAGGTAAATGTTGCTTCCTTCAGGATGAACGGAGTCAAGACTTGCATGCGGCGCTTGTGAGAGCATCCCTGCTGAAGAGCAGCAATGAGTTGGAAAGCAAGGAAATGAAGCAAGAATTAAAGGTGTTTTTTATGTTGACTAAATTAATGAAACAGCTACAGTGACTATAGCGTAGTAGCATCCTCTCCACAAGAAAAAGGAAACTTTTCGACAAGTTTTATACCGAGTCGTGCATAAATAAAACGCTGTCTGTTGAGGGAAACGTTAGTTGAACAAACATAATGGATGACAGAACGATGACGCTTGAGTCCGGAAGACTGGTTAAGGTTAAAGTGATGATTTTTCACTGCACAAACACCCAATCATACTTAGCCAATTAAAGGGCAGGCACATTTATGGGCAGCACCGTTTTGAACTCTTGACTTTTGGTCCATGTGTTTATGAACTATGCTTTGTCAGCACAACATCAGCAGACCACAAAAGGATGTTGACTGGAATATGTCTTGATGCTGTATTTACAGTGGACATCATCCATCCATTATCTTTTACCCGCTTCTTCCTTTTTGGGGTCATGAGGGCAACTGGTGTCAAAATCCAGCCATCACTGTGGGAGAGGTGGGATACACCCTGGACAGGTCTCCAGTCCATCACAGGGACATATAGAGACAAACAACCATTCACTCTCTCACTCACACCTAGAGACAATTTAGAGTTACCAGTCAGTCTAACATGCATGTTTTTGGTCTGTGGGAGGAAACAGGAGTACCCAGAGAAAACCCACGCATGCACAGAGAGAACATGCAAACTCTACCCAGAAAGACCCCCGGACTGGGATTTGAACCGGGGCGACCTTCTCGCTGAGAGACGGCAGCTCTACCAACTGCACCACCGTGCTGCCCAACTATGGGCATCAGTCAGTCTTAAATCCTATCTTTGAGCGAATCTGCAGCGAACACAGTCACCTAAAATGTACATGTTTCTAAATCACTGAGTAATGTCAGTTCTAAGATTATAGTATTTTGGTTTATAACAATATTTGACAACAAACATGTCAACAACACATGTTTCAGAATAAATGAGTGAGCACTACAGCGGTGCTGAGTCCCCTTGCTATTCCTGCTAATGACTAACATATACCCTCCTATAAACATTCACCCAAACGTCTACCATTTTCAATAAATAATCTAGTAGATTGTAAAATGAATGAACATTTAATTACATTTATGGGCTAAAAACAAAAAAAACTAAAAAAAAACAAAAAACTAAAAACAAGCAAACAAAAATAATTAACTTAAATCTACCAGTTGTCCTTATTTGTATTTCAGCCACTAAAGAAATGCAACTGGTCTTCTTGTAGTGTGGTCAAACTGCAATGTAGCATAAAAGTAAAATACTAAACAAAGTATAAATACCTTCAAATCATGTCAGAGTACAGCACTTGAGTGAATTTAATCACTTTACTGCAGTATAAGGAGCTGAAAGGGCTTTTTATGCATGCTGGTACTGAGAGCTGCATTAGGTTACCTTCCCGATAACATCGTTGCGGCTGAGCCTGTCCTTGTCCATGACGGTGATGATGATGGTAGTCTCCCTCAGCACATGAGCTGGGACATCGAAGGGGAAGGACTCGTTGAAAACGGGATTCAAGCAGCGCTTCATCACAACCGTCTTCTTCTTTTCTACACGCTTGTCCTTGTGCATGAGCCACACCTTCACGTAGGGATCTGCAAGGCGAATGCAAAGAGAGGATGTTTACATGAGAGCGACCACAGAGATGCCCATGGATAGCAATTTTTGGGGTCAGGTTTGCAATTACCCTTTCATTGTTAAAAGTTGGGAGAGGCGGTGGGAAGCAGAAACCTCATTTGAGCTCAAGGTCAACATATTCCCTGAGCTAGAAAACATACAGATGAGGAAGTATTTATGGAAATGGGGCCTGAGATTTGTGCTGGAAGTTCTGAAGCAAGAATTATATTTGGTAATACATTAGTGCCACAACTCCTAGGACTGCAAGAGACTTAAATTTTCCAAAAAGGTCAGTGTGGAGAACTTTCTGAAGGAAGAAAGGAATACTTTCAAAACTAGAAAACAGCAGTCTGCTGAAGTGCAATTTAACTTGGGAGGCTCCAGATCCTCATAGATGCATACGATAGAGGCCAGCAGAGAGAGACTTGATGAAATGTCACCTTGCTGCTGCAGCGCTGCACAGAGGACAGTTACTATCTGCTGCACAGACAGTAAATGTTTGTAAATGGAGATAAAGTCTTACACAGCCATAGGAAACAAGAGGTACCCCCGTGGATGAAGGATTTGAATAGTGAATGATTGTAGTTTTCAAGATGAGTGTCTTTCTGGACTCAGACTGAACATTTTTTGGTGGAAGATATTCAAGTGGGTAGGAGGTACTCTGTGGAGAAGAACAGAGGTAGTTTTGTTTCTAGTCTCAGGCAGCGCAGAGGGACGGATCCCGGTGAGCGGAGGGAACAATTTTATCACCAGGTGCAGTGGCGGAGCCAGGGGGTGGCCAATGGTGGCCTTGGCTATTAAGATTAACCTTCGGCCACCCAAGTCATTTGAAAAACTATATGTTTTAGTAATATAAAAACTAGAAAGCATACTTTTCTCAAATGATAAAGGTGGACGATTTACATATATATAGGGTGGTGGCCATCTTGGATTTTGAAGTGGCAACCCCTTTTTTGTAAGAAACATATCTTATGCCTAGATGCGGCCATACACCATAAAGGAAGGCCCATTGCTTATTTTTCCAAGTTATCCAGCTATTTACTATAGTTAAATTAGTTAGTTACTAGTTACATATATATGTCAGCAGTCATCTTGGATTTTGACCTGGCAACCCAGTCTTCAAAAAGAACCTTTCATAAGCCTAGATGCAACCACACAGTAAAATAGAAATTGGCACCTCACTGATTTTTCAAGTTATGTGTCCCTGTGATGGACTTGTGACCTGTCCAGGGTGTACCCCGCCCCTCGCACAGTGCTGGACTTGGGCACCGGCGACCCCCATGACCCAAAAAGGAAGAAGTGGGTAAAGATAATGAATGGATGGACGGGTGGATGGAGTGACGGACAGATGGATGGAAAGAGGGTATTTCCAACACCCCCTTTTCTCTCTGTGACCGGGGTCAATAAACGCCCACCCTCTTAGTTTTGAGGTATTATGTACATAATAAAAACAATCTAGTCTTTTTATCATATTCTACTATTGTAACCTTGAATGTTCAAAAACACACAACAGATTTCAAATAAAACTGAAAGCCAAGATGGAAACGCTCTGAGAAGTCGTCTTTTGAAGCTTTCACAGGCTTCAAGACAGAAAGTATCAAAGCACTTAATGAACTGATCAACAGCAAGTGTGAGCACCTCAAGGCAGGAGTTTTAGAAGTCTTACGCATACAGGTGTGTTTCAACATGATGCCAAGAAGGAAAGACAGCAGCAATGACCATAGAAAAGCAACTGTTGTCCATCAATCCGGGAAAAGTTAAACGATATATTCAAACTCTATGGAATCGATCTTTCTACAGAGAGAAAGATTATTCACAAGTGGAAAATATCTAGGACAGCTGCCAGAGTGGAAGAGTGGAACTCTCAGCAAGTTCACCCTAAGGTCAGACTGTGCAACGGTCTGAAAAATGGCTGGTTTCAAAGGGTTGACAGGAGAAAGGTTTAACTGCATCAAAAGAACATGACAGCACAATTTAGATTTGCAAATTTGCATTTGAATGAACCACAAGGCTTGTGGTATAATGTCCTTTAGACAAATTGGACCAAAGAAGGGATGTTTGATGAGACACAGCAGAGCGAGCATGACAGCTCATACACCTCACTCCTTCAGTCAAGCACAGACGTAGAAGGGTCGAAACTTGGACTTGTTTTGAGCTTGAGTTTTGCTTGTTTTTGGATTTAAACACCAATAATTTCTCTGTTTACCAGAGTCAGCTAAACATGAGGCCATCTGTCTGACAGCTAAAGCTTGGCCCAAACTGAGTCGTCCTACAGGACAACGATCACAAGCACAGCAGCAAATCTACAGCAGAACGGCTGAGAAAGAAACGAATAGGCGTGTTAGAGTTAAAGTCCAGACTTCAGGAAATGCTGTGGTTGGACTTTTGGCGAGCTCTGCAGAAACAAATGTCTGAAAACTTTATGAAATATGTTGTAAAGAGGAGCGGGCCAAAATTCATCCACAAGTGTGTGAGAGACCGATAACGTCATACAAAATAAAAAAACTTCCAACTTTTGCTGCCAAAGGTGGTTCTAGAAGCTACTGAAGCATAAAGTGGACTTTTCATTTTGGCTTTATTATTGTTTATTAGTTCATGACTTGATGGAAATGGTTTTGTTTGTGTTTAATATAACTCAGCTGCAATTTGAATAAATGTAGATCCTGATGAAAAACTAACTAATCATTTTTGTTTCAATTGTCCAGGATGGACTTTTTGGTTTCCCACGACTTTCTGTTGAGCTCTCAAAGTCACGACCAGGACGTATGACAGGCAAACACCGGCTTGAGGAAGAAAATAAAAAATAATGTCAAACTCATGATAAACAGTATCGAAATAGAGCGAGTGTATGAAATCAGATTTTTGGGGGTGACACTAGATTACAAATTGCATTGGAAGGTTCATATTGATAATGTAAAAATCAAAATGTCAAAAACTATTGCAATACCGAATAAAATAAAACATCTCCTGAATAAGAAATCACTTTACATGATATACTGTTGTTTCATACTTCCATACATGAATTATTGTGTTGGGATCTGGGGAAACTCGTATAAAAACAACACAACCGGTCTACGTATCCAAATTATAACGGTGTCTGATTATTTTCATCCAACTAATGACATATTTCTTACATTGCATATTTAAAAATGTTACGACTTAGTAGAACTCAGAGCAGAACTGATTATGTACAAAGCCTATAATAAACTCCTTCCAAGGTGTATACAAAAGTGGTTCAAAATTAAAGAGAAAAACTATGATTTACGAGAGAAGGATTTATTTAAAAAACCAAAGTTTAGGACAAATATTAAAAACAACTGGACTTCAGTTAGAGGGATTCTGATGTGGAATAGTTGTAAGGAGTTTCAACTGTGTTTTTCACTCTTTAATTAAAAAAAAAGTACAAAAATCATTTACTAAACAAATATAATAAGGTTTGCTTTTTTTGTATTTGTTCTTTTTTTATCTTTTTCCTTTTTATGTGTTTTTTTTTTAGTTTGTCTATCAGTTTAGCTGGAATTCCTTGATATGTTTTAGAAAACGATATAAAAAATATTCTGCTGCTTTGATTTTGATGTATAACAAAGTGAAGGTATAATAAACTTGTGCTTCTACTTACATTTTTTTCCGTGTACACTTTGTGTTTTTGTGTTCTTAATTTTTTTACGAGCCTGTTTGGTTCAGAATGTGCATGTACATTTAGGGACAGGAACGGATAAAGCCATTGCTTCTTCCTGCTCCCTTTTCGAACACTTTTGTTTTGCTTGCAGAATATTTTGGTGGAAATATTTACGTTTTTATTTGCTTATGGGTTTGGTGAAAATTTTTAACTTTTCGAAATGAAATAAAGAATTATTATTGTTAAAATACTGAACAAACAGAAAACGTCACTACCTGAAGTGCCCCCGATATCCATGGCTTTAAGGTGTCGAGCTTTGATGATGTTCACAGTGATGGTGTTGGCAGTGGGATTATAGCAGAGAGACACCAGCAGGTCTCCTCGTCTCCCCTATAACACACAAACACAAAGGACTGTGACTCATCAGATTTCATCAGGGGATATCTAACGCCACATTAATCACTGACTTGTGTAATGTTATATCACTGCCCTTTCTGCCTTAACTCCTTGTGCCAAATACAGATGGTCTGGTGACCAGGCTGGCTTGACTAAGATCGTTGCTCACCCAAAAAATCTTGTCAAACAAGCTGAGACTAAATGTGTCATGCTTGTTTTTTAAATAAATAACACAGGAATTAAAAGAGTGCATCGGTCACGATCCTGCCTAATGACCATTTCTTGGTCTCTTACACTGCCATCACTGCAGGGCTTGAGCTCCTTCCAGAAGGTCTTAAGCTGGCCCAGTTCCACCTTGTTTAGAGGGATCGACACCTCCCCAATGGGATCGTTTCTGCTGAAGCGATCGTAGTCCAGCACCTGGAGGTAGAGTGTGCGCTCCCTCACCTTCTCGTAAGGGAATCCTGAAATGGACACATAAACAGACGACACTGCAGGGGGGGCGGCTAGATAACAGACAGTACAGAGAGGGCAGTGTAAAAGTGCAACACGCTACCAGCAATGAATCTGGCAAAGGCCAAAGTGTGCGACAAAGCCTGTTAGATCTGTCTGTGCTCTTTCAAATGACCCCGGGGGATCATTATGCAGAGGTCCTGTCACACACACACTGCCATCTCATTCATCTCTTAGAGCTCAGGATATTCTGTCGCTCGAAAGACCGACAGTTTTTAACCATTTTGTCTATTTTATCCCCGTACAGTCGCCTAAATTATCACAAAAAGCCATTTATACAGGAATAAATAAAACTGTTTTTGACACGACCACAAAGCATCTGCAGTTTACAAGACTATTATTACTCAACATGAAAATAGTTTGTAGTTCTTAAGGATTTATCAATGAAAATGTTTTGATTTACGACATAATTGAATTTTCACACAAAGTGCACAATGCCCCTGTTTGGCAGAGAAACAGATTTTCTATTAACAACAAGACACACTCGTTGTTTGGGAGCTTGTGTCTGCAGAACTGAGCTTAAAAAGTCATTTACTAAAGATCTAGTTCTACGATTTCAACATATTCCTTGGTTTTCTAGAAGAGATTCAAAAAAGAAGATGAACATTAATTGTGTTTCAGTGTTTGTGAAACAGCTTCTTGGCTTCTTTGTTTTTAGGTTTGAGTTTTAGCGTAATACTGATCATGTCACAAAAATAAGAAAGCAGCTGTTTCCTAAAACTGCCTAGTTGTCATTAAAACCAGGGTTAAGAGTTGTGGCCATCTTAACTCTTAGAATCTCCCACCTGATGTTTCAAATAAAAACACGATTTTACACATTAAAATGATTTTAGGGGCAAAGTGTGAGACAAAAATCAAATAATTGTGACCAACAGATCTGTAGTGCCCAAAGTTGGAGTCAGAACTCCACGTTGCAAGACACCAGCTAAGGGTTTAGAGATGATTTCCTGAAACAACTAATGTCGATAACATTTTTTCCGTTAGTGTTACAAGAGATAAAATGTCGACTCACTGATGGAAAGTAGTGGTCGTCACATTACGTTCCTGTTTAATTGATAGAACATTATTAGTATCGTTTAACCAAAGATGATTAGGTCTTTTCTGCTGTTTTTTGTTGGGTCAGAGGCTGTAAAGGTTTAGGAACAACTGTTTTAAACAAGTTTATGCTTATTCATATACAGTGATGCTTGAAAGTTTGCGAACGCTTTATAATTTTCTATATTTATGTATAAATATGACCTAAAACATCATCAGATTTTCACACAAGTCCTAAAAGTAGATAAAGAGAACCCAGTTAAACAAATGAGACAAAAGTATTCTACTTGGTCATTTATTTATGTGCAGCAATAACTGACACTAAATGTTTCTGGTAACTGTTGATCAGTCTGCTCACTGACTTGGAGGAACTTTATCCCACTCCTCCATACAGAACAGCTTCATCTCTGGATGTTGGTGGTTTCCTCACATTAACTGCTGCTTCAGGTCTTTCCACAACATCTGGATTGGATTAAGGTCAGGATTTTGACTTGGTCATGCCAAAACATGAACTTTATTCTTCTTGGACCATTCTTTGGTGGAACCACTTGTGTTCTTATGGTCATCGTGTTGCTGCATGACCCACCTTCTCTTCAGATTCAGTTCATGGACAGATGTTCTGACATTTTCCTGTAGAATTCTGATATAATTCAGAATTCATCATTCCATCAAATGCAGCAGAACAGACCCAAACCATGATACCACCATGCTTCACAGATGGGATCAGGTTCTTATGCAGGAATGCTGTTGTCCTTTCTCTAAACATAACACTTCTCATTTAAACTAAAAAGTTCTATTTTGGTCTCATCCGTCCACGAAACATTCTCAGTCTTCTGGCTTGTCCACGTGATCTTTAACAAACTGTAGATGAGCAGCCATGTTCTTTATGGAGAGCAGTGTCTTCTCCTTGAACCTGCCATGAACCATTGTTGTTCAGAGTTCTCCTGATGGTGGACTCATGAACATCAACATTAATGTGAGAGAGACCTTCAGTTGTTAGAAGTTACTCTGGGGTCCTTTGTGACCTCGCCTTGCTCTTGGTGAGATCTTTGTTGGTCCACCACTCCTGGGGAGGGTAACAATGGTCTTGAATGTTCTCCATTTGTACACAATCTGTCTGACTGTGGTTTGGTGGAGTCCAAACTCTTTACAGATGTTTTGTAACTTTTTCCATTCCGAGTATCAACAACTCTTTTTCTGAGAATCTCCTTTGTTCCTCCATGATCCATTTCCACAAACACGTTGTGAAGAGCAGACGTACATAGATCCATGTTCTTTAAATTAAACAGGGTGCCCACTCACACCTGATCATCATCCATTGATTGAAAACACCTGACTCTAATTTCACCTTCAGATTAACTGCTAATCCTAGAGGTTCACATACTTTTACCACAAATATGTAATACTGGATCATTTTCCTCAATAAATAAATGACCAAGTTAAATATTCTTGTCTCATTTGTTTAACTGGGTTCTCTTTATCTACTTAGGACTTGTGTGAAAATCTGATGTTTTAGCTCATATACTGTATGTGCAGTTCACAAACTTTCAAGCACCACTGTAAATGCAATGATAATGTCATATTTCTAAGTGAACATAAAGTAAAGATTTACGACTTGCTCGTTAAAATCTGCTGAAACTTCATAATCCTGCAATTCTCAAAAGGCTCTGATGTTTCTGGTTTCCTTGGATGCATCACAAACAACAAGGATGAGTCCAGCTCCAGGCAGGAGGTGGAACACCTGGAGAGCTGGTGCAGGAAGAACAACCTTCACATCAATGCGGTCGTGGATTTCAGACGGAGCAAACACATTTCATGCTGCTGCGTTTGTACTCATCTACTCACAAAGACTCATGTTCGTGCTGCTGTTGTTCGGCGTGTTGTTTTGCACTATTAGTGTTTAGCGTATTTCTTAGTTTATATCTTAGATCCTTATTTACTGTTTCTTTTTACAATTTATACTTTTGCTGTTGTTGGGTGTAAATGGGACCTTGAGTACACAATTTCGTTCCACCTCGTGCACCATATGTGACGCGAGACAATAAAGAACCTTGAACCTTCGTTGCTAAATAATTTCATTCTTCTTCTGGAATAAAAAGACAAAATTTACAAGAATAAAAACAACTCTAATGGCTGGAAATGAGAGAGACCTTCAAAGAGGAAGGTTTCGTTCCAGTGGGGGTTGAGGTTCTTCCTCTTGATCTTGGTCTCCAGCTTGTGCTTTTTGTCAGGCAGCAGGTAGATCTTCACAAATGGGTCTGAGGTGCCAGAGAAGTCCTTGGCCGGGAGGTCCTGGCCCCTGAGAACTTTGACGGTGAGGGTCGTGTTCTGGAAGCTGTAGCCTATGCTGAACTGGATCCGGCCCAGCTTTTCACTGACGGGCCCTTCGCCGTCATCGTCCTCCGAACCTGGAGACAGCTGCAGGATTACAAAGGCAGACAAATGAGCATGAACACTCACACATCCAGCAGCACTCAAGGGAAAAGTTCAGTCCAAGGGCAGACACTTTCGGTATGGCAAGCACACGCGCACAGACCTCGGTGGAGAGTAGCAGTAAACGAGATTTCTTAGCCGTATGTCTCACGGCAGCGGCTCAGAGACAGAGATTGGTCTGACATAAAGAAGACTGAGAGTTTAATTTCCTTACTAATGTTCTTAAGAGACAGGAGGTGCTCAGATTGAAGATATGGAGCTTTAGACCACCCGTTCTCTCTCACACAGGCACACTGACTGCTTTATCATTGCTGTGCACTAAAAGGCTGGTATCTGATAAAAGCAGCAGACAGGGGGGGAAAGGAAGAGCAGGAGACAAACAGAAAACGGAGGAGAGTATTGCACGAGAAGGCTGGAGAGAGCAGCCAGAAAGACACAGCTCAAGGTTGGCTTGTTGAACTTGAAACTGTCTTCAGTCACTTTTCCCCTCGTAGCTTCACCTTCCATCCCTGATCTTTGTTGTTATTTATTTATTTTACCTCCAAATCTATGAAAAGCATGATTTAGAGGAAGGACATTAGGATCTTGAGTGGATACAGCCAAGCAGCATTTCATTAAGCCGCTTTACGCGAGAGCCACTTTGACATTTGGAGGAAAAAAGACTAATCTGAGTAGCAGTTTGCACGCAAACACTGACTCTGATCGTAAGCTGATTTTTCTTATTTGTATTTCTTGTGGGGGCTCCAAGTCAGAGCTGAGAGACAAACACTCACTCAGCATTTATCAATATGGGTTTTAGAACAGGAGGAGCAAGTGGGGAACATTTCAACTCTAATTTGTCAAACAGTGTGAGTCATCTTGGAGGGCTTGTCTTGCTTGATTGCCACTGTGGGAACTGCCAGTTTCCCCCCAATCAAAGCTCCCTCATTACCATCTCCAGCTTTAGATCAACCTTTCATTTGTGCCTAGAACTGGGGTCTGCAACCTGCGGCTCTGCAGCCACATGCGGCTCTTTAGTCCCTCTGCAGCGGCTCTTTCAAGCTTTGATCAAAACTAACTTTAAACTGAATTTTATTGGTTCTTATCACAGCATAAAGGGCCAGTTTGAGCAGTTTTTCTGTCATTTTCTTTGCAAATATGTGAATACAAGAACTAATACAAGGAGTAAAACATACTTTCACTTTATGCTTTATTTCTTCAAAGTAGGATACTTAATTTATCTACAATAAAAAAAAATTCACATCAAACTGTATAGTTCGTTGTTTTAGTTTTTTTTAATGGGCAAGAACATATTTTTCTTTTTTACAAGAATCTTATCTTGTATTTTGTCTTAAAATGTAAAAATATCAACAAATGTTAAAATTATTAGATATTTTCAGCTTTTGAATGTCACTCCTACTGGCCTCCAACAAACTTAAAGTGGTCCGCGGGCCACCAGTTGAGAATCACAGTTGTATCAGGTTTTGTGGCTCCGGACATGTTTAATTTAGTGAATGAAGGGGCAGAAATGGCGCTTTTGAACGTAAAGGTCGCAGACTCCTGAACTAGAATGATTTTGCAGCACACATCCTACTGGTCACTTAAAACTACATCATAAAACAACAAGAATTCTCCCATTTTCAGATGAACGTAATCAACATCTGATAAAAGCTGATTTTACAAGACTGTGCCGTCTAGTCATCCTGTAGCTCAGCAAGCAAGTGTTGGTTTGCTTAATTTATGCAGAAATTCAGAACCCACTGTATGTGGCGACATGAGCCAATGACGGAGAGGAAGCAACACCATCTCTGTCTCTGTTACGCTGCATCTTTTTATTATCTTTGGGTTCAATTAGTTTAACATTCTAGAGTAAATTGCAAATGAGCAATAAATAAAGACAACTTAATGGATATACAGTTCTTTTAAAAAAAGTTGCATATTCTTTATATAGAGTAGTCCCTCTGTACTTCGTGGCTCAACTTTTGCAGACTCGCTGTTTCGTGGGTTTTCAACGTAAGATTGTAAGCCAGAAAAAAGATGGATGTACAGAGATGCGCGCACAAACATACAACTCTCGCGAGCACGAGTCATTACAGGCCATGGGGGCGAGCAATAGAGTTGCATTCAGGCCCAAAACTCTGATCTGACCCGGCCCCATCCCGTAGCCATCATTTCCGAACCCCACCCGACCCGACAAATTAACAGTAATTACAGGTCCAAACCCGAACCCCCCCCCCCCCCCCCCAGACATTTTTAATTACCGTAAGCTTTGACTGCTTATATAGTTATTAACGGTCGGCGGACGCGAGCGGCTGATTAAAAGAAGATCAGAGCTGAGGGGGTGTTTGACCTTTCATGGCCGTAAAAGAGCATTAAATCCCTGCTTCCACCTGCATTCTGCATTATTCAGACATGGACCCTGCTCTGACATGTCTGCTTTGGGATCTCACCTGTTTGGGTCAATGGCCGCACGCATCTGCTGAGTGCAGCAGTTGAACGTCCATTTGGACGACTGATTGCTTCCTGGCAGTAGCCTACCGGTAGGCACATCTGAAGCTTAACTGAACTTTATTTTAAATCTTTCAAGGCCGGTCAGCTCGTGGTGAAATGGCTGCGTGCAGCAGGTAATTGTATGGCAAGCCATGTTGCCATATATTTGGATTGCGGCTGATCCGCTGACACAATCAAAAGCCTGACACTGACCCGGCCTGCCCATCCAGCACATTATCATGGTCCGGCCTGGCCCAAATTCGGGTCTGGCCGAGCCGGGCTTCAGGCCCAGGTTAGAAATGACAGCTCTAGCGGCGCACAACCTGTTGTGTGTCTCTGCTCTGCTGTGACAAGACAGCCTAAAAAAAAATAAAGGTGGGGATGGGTCTGTCTTTCCCCATCGTTACTGTTCAGTCTGTGCGAACTGATACCTGAGTGAGCTGCACAAGCGGCATGGATTATTTATTTTAAATAATCAAGCGCGACCTGAACCGAGCCTTTAGTCCAGCCCCTCGGCGATCATTGAGCAGGCCAACTGGGGAATGTCCCGGTGCTCCTGATGGCCAGTCCACCACTGAACCAGAGCATTGTGCTCTGTATCCCGGACGCTGATTGGCTCAGTAACCGTAGCATCATTCTGTCTGCTCTCTTTCACTGTGCTCTTTTAGAGCGTTTACTGGGAAGGGTTTATAAAGCCTTAATATATATAAATACTAACATAAATATAACGTCCCTACTTCACAGACTTTCACCTATTGCAGGGGTGTCTTGAACGTAACCCCTGCGATGAGTGAGGGACAAATACTGTATTGTTTCCCAAGGAGCCAGACTGTCTTCTAAACTGATCTTGATACTTAATGTTTTAATACATTTTCAGCCCAGTACTGAACACCAAATAAATTAAAATAAACGTTAAAGTTCAGCCTAAATAATCCAGGTATTAAATCCAACAATGTTCACTCGTCATCTGGATGGTTTTCTTGTTTTCTGAGATGTTTCATCCTTCATCCAAAGGAATTCCTCAATCCGAGAAGCCACCAAGCAAAACCGTTTCCCACTAACATCATACTCTGTAGTGGGAAAAAAAACAGTTTGTTGGTGCTAAGATGGCCTCTGTGGCCCGTCCTTTCCCTTGTTAACTCTTCTGAGACAGGTTTTTTCCACTATGGAGTATAATATTAGTGGGAATCAGTTTTTCTTGGTGGCTTCTTAGATTGAAGAAGTTCTTTAGATGAAGGATGAAACAGCTCAGCAAAAAAGACACCGTCCAGATGACCCGACTGAACATTGTTGGATAATAAACGTTGTAGTTTTTGGTTTGTGGTTTGGTGGAGAAAACAGTTTACTTGAGACTCTTCAGACTGATGAAGTCCTCCGGATAGAGGGCAAAATGTCTTTCCACAAAAAAGAAACTGTCTGGATGACCTGACTGACCATTATTGGATTTTGTACCTGGATGATTGAGCATGAACTTTGATGTCTTGAACCACTTTGCCTGGGAGGAGTCGGCGGGGGACAGGACAGCCCCCAGAAACCATCTTATCACCAGTAAACTGGTTGGTCCACTAAATGAGTGTACTGCTTGGTGGGGACAACAGTTTACTTGGGACTCCTCAGACTGATGAAGCCCTCTGGATAGAGGGCGAAACATCTTTCCATAAAAAAGAAACTGTCCAGAAGACCTGACTGACCATTATTGGATGGATGGTTGAGCATGAACTTTGATGTTGTGGTTTTTAGACTTTATGCAGTCTTCATACTCTGGATGGCATTGACTTGGTCTTAAGTACTAATTTACAAACTCCTGGTGCTGTTTTTGAGCTGGACAAGTTAAATCCTGGTAGAACGGGGTGTCTTACCATCACCATGTCTCCAGTCAGAGAGTTAGCCAGGTCGGTTACAGAGGAGTGGCCATCGGCATCGGGGGGATGGCCCTTTGGGCTGTTAGCTGGCTTGTTGCCCCTGAAAGCACAAACTCAGGTTGACAAAAGAAGAAAAACTTGCCAGAACATGTGCTGAGAGCCTCACTCATCTACAGAAAGAGAGAATGTCTGAGCGCACAGGGAGTCCAACCTGCACCTGTTTAACAGCTGAAAACAGCCTGTCTTAAACAATCCAATCTGTCCAAGTTTACTTTGGATAGAAGTCACTTCAAAGGGAAGTTCTGCAGATATTGTTACCGGAGCCAAATAAAATCTGCCAAAAAGCTCCACAGATTAATGGTGGGCGCTAGACCTGAGGACAGTTGATGTAGAGAGACGTGACGGCTGAAAGTTGGAGCCTGGAACGGCTGAAGATGTGTCCAGTTTGGCTAAACATCTTAAAATAAACACATTTTTAGACAGAACGCAAAACAGAGCCACTAAAATTAGAAAGTGACGTTTAATCCCCAATCCTTGGGGAGTTTACGGTCAACATTTATTCCCTCTGAAGATGAGACACACATGTACAATGACATATATACAGAAACATGACGTTACTAACACACATGTATAGCCACATGAAGAAGGCAAGACGAGTTTCAATTTCTCTCAGCTGCATCGACAATACAAAACGATTTTTGGAAAAGAGAAGGAGAGAGCGGAGATCTCCGAGGGCGCAGCTGGCACGAAGATACAAACGTTAGTAGGTGTTAAGTTTAACTTCTGTACATTGAGATGGCATAAACACTCTTAGAGAAAACCTCCTATGTTCATACATCATGTAAACAAGAATCACAAAGTGTACAACAAAAAAAGAAAAGCAGAAAATAAGACGGAATATCAAAAGTGAACAACCACTGTGAGATTAAAGAAAGCATGAGAGAGGATAGAATAGAGGAGTCTTTGTCAATGTGATGCGTAGGACGCACAGCGATCTATAAAGATGACCGGTCAAAGCACACGGACACCGAAACACCATTAGGCAGAACACAAACAAGAAAAACAAGAACAGAAAGGCTGAGAAAGAGAACAAACGAGCAGACAGAGAGGATTCTCAAGTTGCACACACATACTTGACAGAAATCATAAGGACTGTGAGAAACACACAAGCAAGATGATGTTTTTTATTTATTTGTTTTGGAAGAGATAGCAAGTATTAACAGCATGGGCAGTATGAAAACCAAAAGAGCTTGTTACAAACACCAGCACATTTGGAGAAAGAGAGAGAAGAAACAGAGCTGCAAGAAAACGATAGGGAATGAAAGAAGGAAGAAAAGCCTGCAAACACAAGAGAGGCTTAGTTTGGTCAGTCTGATAATAATCAAAGAATAAAAGACAAAAAAAATAAAGAGATACGCACAAAAGTTAACAGGAGACAAAGGAGCAAACATGCTATAGGAGAAAAAGAGCACAAAGAAAACAAAGAAAGTAAAAAAGACAATAAATACAGTTGATCATCAGGATAAAGAGAACAAGAACCGTCCTTTTTTAAGAGGAGAGCTCAAAACAAGTGATAAATGAGAGAGAGTGAAAGAGAAAAAAGGGATCTACCGTACAAAATATCATGTAAACACCAAAAGGGACAAATAATAAGAACATAGGAAGAGCACATTTAGAGTGTTACAAAAGAGGGCTTTGTTTTGTTCTTTTCAGAAATTAAGTGACTACAGAGAATAAAGTTGTTTTTGAATCTAGTCTGATTTTGCAACCATTTAGCAACACTCTAAAAGTGTGGATTGGGAACACAAGCCCAAAGCGCAAACTGGCATTGGCTACATGTGCATACATTATGTATGCAAGTAGTTGTCACTCAGCGAGTGAGGGCAATGCCTTGGACGGGCGATAAACAAGGAGCCCATATAAAAGTCTGTCTGTCTGGCCAGCATTCTCTGTCGAGCTTTCACTGAGAGAATGGTTTGTTGTTTTTAGGAGCGCAAAGTACTGTCAATTTGGACGAGATGCTGAACGCAGTAACGTATGCATTTCTTTTGCAAAGAAGACAACGACAAAACTAGAGGAAAATATACTGACAAATAGACAGACAGAAAAAGCAAGCGCACGAGACGAGCAGACAATCACTTCAGCCAATAGAAAGCGTGCGAGGCGGGAGGGGAGGGAGAGGTGACGTTAACCATTCATGAAGCGAGGGGGGATGTATTTCTTCCAGCTGGTGTTAGTTATATTAGTTGCCAGGGGATGTAATTGCATTTAGACGAGTCCTGTTGTTTGTCTTGAGCAGTCCCTAAACTGCAGGTGGCGAGTTTGAGGGGGGGGGGGGGGGGGGCGAAGAGAAGAAGGTGGACTCCCCAGCATAGAGATTTGAAAGGGTTGAGGTACAGCAGTGCACCTCCCTCCTCAAACCACGTTCTGAAGCATCGATGGGAGAGTGAACATCTTTTATTATTTATTCTCCCTCATGCTTCGCTCAGGGCTTCAGTGCGTTCTCAGGTAGGAGCTGCTGCAGCGGGGGAGGGGGGGGGCTTCTCTACAAAAGGTGGTCCCCTCTGTTCTCTTCCTCCAAGCTGTTGCAGCACTGATGGAGGACAGACGTTTCCCTCCCCACTACACTATATAGTGAAATTAAAGCGAGGACTGGTTCCATTTTACGCCATTTCTCAAAAAGCAGTATTGTTTGTGACAGATTGTTGGAGCTACAACTGATTTATTTTGGTGCCAATGTTGTTGTTTTGTCCTCTCCGGCCCCTCGGGGAGCTGATGTGAGTCTGTGAAGCCTGCAGTGGTCTACAGTGTCCAGTGGGAGGCAGAGTGGGCTCAGATCAGGTTCTCCCACAGCTAGGATGCAGGAAAGTGGGCTGTTGGCATAGCAACGACTCTTGAAACACAGACCGTACATATGGGAGGTTTGGGGCGTGTGTGACAAGAGGCTGTTGGAAGTGGGCGCGACGGGGAAAGGGTGTGTGCGGGGGGGGGGGGGGGGGGGGCAAAAAACAGGCAAAAACACACGCAGAACACAGAAGATAAGGTTGAGGATATATGACAGGTACGGGTGAGAGCCTCGCAGACACACACATTCACGAGAACGGACATATGGAGGCAGGCAGGGCCTTTTTAGGTTTCACCGTCCTGTAATACTATCCTGTTTGGTTACCTGACCGAGGGCCAGCAGCTCGAAGAGAGCCGGGCAAGGAGGAGGAGGGGGGAAGGACACTCCACTTCTAGGCTGGAGAGAGACGCGAGAAAGAGAGCCCATCCCACCTCCCCGCATCTTTAATTTTTCTTCAAGCATTCAGACTTCCCGCCCTTCTGCAAACATGTCACACTCAAACAAACATGCTAAGACCATGGAGGGATGCGTGTCATCATGTGCACTCAGTTTCAGAGCCGCCTACTGAGATCTACGCTTGTTTAGGAGTGCAAGATCATAAAAACACTGCACGCTGTTACATAACTCTTCATCCACACTAAAACACTTTTTAAAGTTCCTGCTGCTTCGCTTCTTCAAGCACAAGTTCAGATCTTTTGAAGTGGAGTTCTGTGGAAAGGTTATGAATAATTAATATGTTACCTGTTGCAGATAGCTCTTAAGCCCCCAGTATACTGCCGCGCACATCCATACGCAGAGGTACGTGCGTACCCCCCAGCGTACCCTCCGTGCAAAGCTCACATTTTTATGACCGCATACGCGTACGCGGTGTCGCACAATAAACTGCCCAGCGACGGACTGTTTTGTATGCAACACCAATGTATTAAATTCCCCTTCTTCATCTCTGATCTGGCCTTTTCTTTTGTTTTTTTGCCAAGAGGCAGTGATCTCTTCATCCTCCGTTGATGCCATGACTGAAATGGTGAGAAATGAAGGCATTTGTCACGAGCGAATTAAACTCAGGTTCAGCGTGGCTGCGGGAGGGTCTGGAGATTTCCTGGTGGGCTGGTCTGATGTGTGGGCTGCAGAGCCAGCGCTCTGTTTTTTTTAAATTTTTTAGATCTTTTTATTAACAACATATAAACACAGAACACCGCTGCGGCAGAGGCTGCCAGCGCTCGCTTTTTTTTTCTTTTTTCCGACCTGTCAATCAATCCAGTAGGCGTGTCAGCAAATGACCAATCAGCGACCTCAAATTGTCCCGAAGGTAAACGCCCCTTGTCTGTGAAGCTGCTCTGCAGCTGCTCGGGGTGTACGCTCGAGTATCATGTCTGAACCCTCTGCGTACAGTACACGCGTACGTCCGTTCACGCGTATGTACGCGTGAACGGACGTACGCGGCAGTATACTGGAGCCTTTAGAAGCACCTCAGTTTGGAAAAATAGTCTATTTTAATCATAAACTAATTTTCAGTTAGTCATTTTGAAGCGTTTTTTTTTTTTTTTTAAGCTAACGGCAAGCTAATGCTAACATCCGCACCTCATTATTGTGATTGTCAGACTACAACTACAACTATCTGGACGTCTTTAAAGTATCTGGTCCTCTCCACTGCTTGCATTGTGGGGCTTTAGAAAATATTTGGAAATGTGTAATGAAGCTGAATACTTGGTAGGTAAAATGCAAACAAACTGGGCTGTGCTCACCCCCTATTTATTCCACTATATAGTGGTCATAGTGCATGAGGGAGAAAACAAGTGAACATTTCAAGCATGGCAGTCAAGTTGAACTCTAACTGTTCTGACAAGCTAACAGTTACCGTATTTATCGAACTATAAGGCGCACCGGATTATAAGGTGCATTAAGCAAAAAAACAGTCAGATAAGTCAAACTTTATTCAACTCATTCACAATAACCACATAAAATCAGTTCGAGGTCAGTAAGCACAACCAGATTTAATACATAAGGCTCACCTGATTATAAGGCTCATTGTCGAGTTTTGAGAAAATTAAAGGATTTTAAGTGTTTATAGTCCGAACAATATGGTAATCTGAGAGAAGACCGTTGTGTATAATAATAATAATAATAATAATGTCATCACAATGTCAGCACTGTATGTTTCCATACAATGGCAAAATTAGTCTCTGCATTTAACCCATCCACCACCAGGTGGTGCAGTGGGCAGCTATTGAAAGCTGCCCGGGGGGCATTTTGGGGAT